AAAAAAAAAACAGCCTAAAATTAAAAAGAGCAAGAAGGGGCCCTTACCACCGTAAGTAAAACCTAAAGGAAAATTATAAACAAATGTGAATGTATTTATCATCAGCACTGAGAAAGACAACTAAAACTCCTTAGTCTCCATGGAGGTAGTAGCTTTGTTTTCACTACTGTGTTCCCAATGAGTACAGATATTAGTATGTTACATCTGATAGTAGCCGTGTTTTAACTACTATGCTCTCAATTATGCAGAAATTGTGTTGGCATGAGTACAGGAAAAGTAGGCCATTAAACATTTGACTAAGTGCGTGATATTATTACATTCCTGTGTGGGCTTGTTCAACAAGGCACTAAATATTCATGGTCTATTCATTTCTATATTACTGTCCTGTGAAATTCCCATTTCTTGGGACAAGAACTCATAGACAGCCCAAGAGCATTTACTTGGAGGTTACACAGTATTTACTTTTTGCTCATTCATTGATTTCTTTGCTTTATTTTTCCCCTCCCCTTCATCTTCCTTCTTTTCCTCCTCTTGCAAGTTTCTATAGCCCTACTAGGATTCTTATTTGATTATTTTTTTCTAGTCATTTATCACCCCATTCTCTATTGCAGGAGTGAAGCTGCTACCTTGACACAGGTGTGTAGAATATTTGTAGAAAGCAAAACACTCATAGCATTGACAACCCACTGTAAGTTAATGAAAACCAAAGGAATAGATGGGGATTTCAAAGGCAAGAGGGTCGATAATTTTCATGCCAGAGAGAGATAATATAAACATGCAAACTTTAGGTTTGTTGATATGAATATGTTCATCCCTAAGAACATTTATTTATTTTGATCACTTTGGAATCCAAAGGCAATTGGATACCTAAAATAGATCACATACCTTTAAAAGATACCCAGGAATACGTGAAAGTTTTTTCAAAGGGCTTTGTGCGTATGTCACAGTAGCAACTGGAGCTAATGCATAAAACGTCTTGATTCTATTAGCCAGTGTGGGATTGGTAGAAAAGGCAATAAAACCTGAAATAGAACAGACCATCAGTGATGAGCTGTGTGCATGTGTGCTGTTCTGTTTTCACAAGTGTGATGTTATTTTGGACTTGCTGCAAATGCCGTGTGAGGCAAGCTGTCAAAATGGCACATTAGTTTGTTGGGATATGTATGAGCACAGTGATGGCTCTTTAAAATAGCCACTAAAGAACAAGAAGAGTTGAGTTCAGTCTTCAGTTAACTCAAGATAGAGGCAGAGT